GAACAACATTCAACGTGGAAAATTTTACAACTGGACTAAATGTATCTTTAAAATCATATCTAAGAACCTGTGAGTACCCTTTAGAAACCAGCCATGCTTTATATCTTTGAACAGGCCCATATGGATTCTTCTTTATTTTAAAGAGCCACTTGCATCCAACAATAACGCGCCCTTTGGGCAAGGGAACAAGAGACCAAGTCTTGTTTTCTTGCAATGCATCAAGTTCTGCATGAATAGTTTCCTTCCAACTAGGGGATTGCAGAACAGCTCGAACACTGGTTGGTATTGTATCATCAAAGAAACTCGTGTACACCTTGGACTTAAATACACCACACTTGCTACATGTAAGCATTGGGTGTCTGTTTCCAACAATCTCACCACCAGCATGTTGCTCTTGAACATGCACTGATATGCTGGCTACGATCTCATTAGTCCCATTATGAACACGACTGGGAAAGTGGGAAGAAGAACCTCTACTATTGTCATTCGAGCTAGAACTCGCTACCCTCAATGCTTCCTCATGCTCATCAGATGAACCAGCTCCAACTGGAATTGATCTCGATACTTCCTCATGCTCATTAGATGAACCAGCTCCAACTGGAATTGATCTTTCACTACTAGATCCATGTCCCACATTAAACGAGATAGAACCATCATGTCCTCTAAACTTTCCTACATTCGTAATCACCTCTAGATACTGAGGCTGCTGGAAAACTTTGCGAGCTGAAGGTTCTGTATGAGTATCACCTACAAAAGAAAAACTGAACTCGTCAAACACCACATGTTGTGACAAACATATATGGCCATTAGGTGCGAGACATTGAAATCCCTTGTGATGAGAACTGTATCCAAGAAAGGTACACGATTAGGACAAAAACTCAAGCTTCTGTTTTAAGAAATGTCACAAATGTGGAAAACGCTGACAACCAAACACCTTCAACGCCTCATATTCTAGTTTCTTGCCAAAAAAAACTTCTCAAAATGCGACATTCCTTGCAACACCTTTGTTGGCAATCTATTAATCAGATACACTACAGTAACAACTGCATATGACCAAAAACGAATTGGCATGGATGTTTGATCAAAAAGCACAAGTGCAAGCTCAATAATATATCGATGCTTGCATTCTACCACACCATTTTGTTCTGATGTGTGGGGACCTGTGACACGATGCAAAATACCTTCTTTGAGTAAACAACTTGACAAGCGCCTATATTCCCCTCCCCAGTCACTCTGGACTGCTTTAATAGGCAAACTAAATTGGTTCTTGACCATTTGCTGGAACAAACAAAACGCAGTAATGGCTTATGCCTTATCCTTCAAAAGGTAAAGCCACGAATGCCTAGTGCAGCCATCAACAAATGTGACATAATACTTAAAATCATTTGAAGTAACCGGTGTAGGCCCCTATAGGTCTATAAACACAAGCTGAAATGGAGTATCATACACAATACTTGAATCATGAAAATGTAATTTGTGGCTTTTTCCCATGCAACAAAAAACACATGTTTTATTCATTGCATTTGAAATATTTACATTCAACTCTTAACAAATTTTAGCTAAACTATCATGTGAAGAATGCTCCAACCGTCGATGCCAAAGTTCATATGTGTCAAAAAATGTAGTCATGGAGTTTGCTTCTACAACCATAAGGGCTTCCATTTGGGGGTCAACAACAAACGAGTATAGACCATCTTCTTCTTTCCCACGGAGCATGACAATACCATAATCTTCATCACGAACACAACACTCATGCGCATGAAACTCAAAGAAAACGTTATTATCCCTAGCAAGCTTTGAAACAAACAAGAAGTTCTTCGTTATTCTTGGCACATATAATGAATCATTTAATAATAAGGCTTGAGATGATGAGCACAAAGTGGTATTACCAATGGACTTAATATCCAAAGCTACTCCATCACCAACTACCAGCTTACCTGGGCTATTATAGTCATCCTTATGACTAAGAATTGTTTCATCTGGTGTAGCATGATATGTGGCACCAGAGTCTACCACCCATCATTCGCGAGCTTTTGTTGAGACAAGCACTTGATGACATAAATCAACCTTAGGCCCACTACTTCGAGCATGACAGCACTCACATTAAGCAGTTTTAGTTTCACGCATGGAATAATATGCATTTCCATATTGATCCTTAAAATATGCCTTACTACCAGTTGTACCCCAGGAAAATGTTGATCAAACCGATGCCAACAGCTATTTACAAGATGGCCATTTTTACCACAAAGTTGACACTACATACGTCAACCACGACCTCGGCCTCTTCCACCAGACCATCCACCAGAATTAGCTAATGACCGAGAGGATTTATGATTATAATAGTAATTTGAAGTAAAGGATTTGCTTGAACCTGTTCCTAGGGTAACATTTGCACTTATTGGCAACACCTCAAGTTGATCACCAAAGCTAGCTTGTGTTTATGCATCCATTAGGATGGTGTACACAACATCAAGAATTAAATATTCTCGTGTGGTGGTTATAACTACCAAAAATGGTTGATACTCACGAGGGAGACCTTTCAGTATACTAGCAATGTGCTAAGCTTGCGACACCACGCTACCACAAAACTCCAAGGCATCACACACCTCTTTTACACGCATGATGTACACTCTCATTGAATCATCACCTTTCTTGAGAGATTGTAGCTTATAGTGTAAGCTAATAACAGTAGTCATGGACCTATTTCCAAAGAATTTGAGCACCGTATTCCAGACCACTAATATTGTTTCTGCACCCACAAACTGAGGTAGGAGCTGAGGACTGATTGTGGAGAGTAACCAGGACGTAATACCACTGTCTTGAGCCACAAAATCCTCATGCAGCTCATTCGATATGACTTCACCATCATCACTGGCCACTGTTTCAGGCAGAGACCTCATCGTTCCCATCATGAACCTCTCAAGACGATGACTGCGCACCGTCAACGGAACTTGTTGCTTCCAAAGAAGGAAATTTGTCTCATCAAGAGCCACATTCACCTTTTTATTGGAGAATGCTTTAGCATTTCTTGCAGAAAACTCCATGAACAGAGAAGATCCACCACCATTCAACATGGCAAGCAGTAACAATAACCACCTTTTGACAGAGAAGAACCTCTACGCAACGAAAAAAAAAACTTCCCTAGGAGATTTAGCGAATGATACCATGTTAGAAAGATAGGTTAAGCTTCAAAATTGAAGGAATATTGAATCTTTCTCATTATTTCCAGTACACCAATTACATTGTTTTATAGTAACTTTATAGCAAGCCTAATAGCTCAACTAACTCTAACTACACTGCTAACAACTTCAACCCCTTAACCAAACTTAACTGCTTAACTATTTCAATAGCTTTTCTTCCATTTTCCACTTACCTTGCAATGCAACGTATCTAGCAGCAATAACTTCACTTTGCTTTTGAAATTTACTTTTGTCCCAAACTATCAGTACGCCACCTGCTCCTCCTTCGCCGTGTACTGTCCCCGTGGTTACAATCCTTCCAACCTTACAAATTCGTCTATTACTCATCACCCTTTATATTGAATCCTAGTTTTTTGTTGAACTTTCAAGTCTTTTTAGATCCCCTCAAAATTAGTTTCTTTATTTTGTTAATATCTGAGTCCAAAAGAGATCTCTCGCTCGCCTCCAACACATCTTCAACTTCTACACTTTTGGTTCGCTTTCTAATTGTCTTATCTTTTCTTCCTCTCTGTTGAAGATAAAAATTTATTCTCAATTTCAATCACAGATCTATACCTTTGTTCCCCCTAGAGACCACTCCTTTCTTAATTTCTTCAATTGAAGCTTTAGAAGCTGTCTTCTAGCGTCTTGTTTCCTTTTGTCCTTGTTTGGCTTGTATTTTCACTCCCTGATGCATTCAAATCCTCCTCGATATTTTATTTTGGTTTTCATACTCTTAAATCCATGTCTCGTTTATTTATATTTATTTTTGGTATAACATAAATACAAGTTTTAACTTTGTCTTGGTTGATCCCTTTTATAAGTGAAGAATTTAGTTACATTTGTATCTATTATGAATATTATTTTGTGAATGTCTATTATGACATCTCATCTTTCATCTTACTCAACACTTCATCTTTGATTATTGAATCCCTGTGATATTGTTCAAACTTATAATTTCTCGTATTGTGTTATTTGTTTCTTTTTATTTTCTCTAGTGTTCTATAGTCCATGCCAATAATGTGTTACAAAATTATAAGTCAATAAGTTGGTACAAGTTATTGAGATTCATGAATTTGAGCTTGTAAGGCTAAGTTCGAATCTTACTACAGTCACTCTTGGTGGACAATCTATAAATTTCTATGTAAATCTCAATTGGGTCTTACATATGTCATGGCCCTGGACTGGAGTAGCCACCATTGACCTAAACTTTTATGAGTCAAAAAAAAATTATAAGTTTATACGAAATCATTAATTATAGGAGTTCAATCCGCAAAGATGAAGGGTTGAATGAGATGAAAGATGAAGGGGTGTCATAATAACCAATCATAAAATAATATTTATTATTTATTATTTGAATGTAGCTAAATTCATCATTATAAAAAGGATCAACCAAGACAAAAGTTAAAACATATATTTATGTTAAACTAAAACTAAATATAAATAAATGAGATAGGGAGTTAATCAAACATATAATGCATGAAATTTTCTCAAAATAAGATTGAAATAAGTTTGAGTCAAACTATAAATGCATAAAAGTGTATGGGACGTGAATTGAAGAAGCTTCATAATCGGACGACCAATCATTTGGCATACAGGTACCGCTTCTCCCTGTCAAGCTTGTGGAATATAAACCCTACATCCCTTTCTCTGCATTTGTGTCCAAACCTCCATTCTTTCCAACCTACTTCCCTAAGAAGTTTCTCTCTTTCTCTCAACCAAAGTGATATCGGGCGAATCCCTGCAACACAATGAGTAATGCCTCCTTATGCCTTTCTTCTGCATCTTCTTCTGTTACTTCTAAAATTATTTTCATTTATATTTTTCTGTTTTGATAGAGGTTGAGAAGGAGACGAGAAAGCTTCTTCAGATGGCTGTACAAAGGAGGAGGAGATTAAGAGCAACAATGCACAACTTGATCGTAGGCTCTCCAAAAGAAGGCAACGAAACGACAGTATCTTTGACGGACAACTTGATGGGTCTGCTACGAGTTCATGTCAAACGGGGTGTAAACCTTGCTGTTCGGGATGTCCGAACCAGCGACCCTTACGTTGTTGTTAAGATGGGCCACCAGGTCTTCTTTTTGTTCTGTTGTTTCAATATTAATTTTCACCTTCATAACAATCATAATATATATCATTTGTGAATATTTTTTAGCAGAGACTCAAGACTCGTATGGTAAAGAAGGATGTAAATCCCGAGTGGAATGACGATTTAACTCTGTCCATTACAGATCCTAATATTCCAATCACGCTGGTAAGTATCTTGATTACTATACTCCATAACTTGATCCTTAAAGCATTCCTTTGTTTAACTATTTGTGCATGACTCCAGACTGTGTACGACCATGACACATTTACTAAGGATGACAAAATGGGAGACACTGAATTTGAGGTTAGCCCATATATAGAAGCCTTGAAAACACATACCAATTTGGATGAAATCCCAAGTAAAACCGTGCTATCAAGAGTACAACCAAACGCCTCCAATTGCCTAGCCGAGGAGAGTCTCATATACTTGTACGAAGGGAAGATCGTCCAAGACCTTGTCCTCCGATTACAAAACGTCGAGTGTGGTGAAGTGGAAATTCAACTCGAATGGATTCACTTTCCTGGATCTAAAGCCTTCCTAAGTCAATGAATGTTTGTTTTGTCTGTCTTCTATTTATTCCCCACGTTTCCACAATTGGACGCCTTCTCACTTTGCTGCTTTCTCCATATACGGAGAGTGTGATTCAACCAATATTCAGCAGTCCTCATCACAAGCCGTAAATGAATAGGCTCGATACTAAGATCATTTTTCTATCAGCGCTCGAGATAACAAGGATTTATCTTGCAAAATAGTGCCCATGAATTTCTCGAACATAACATACATGTTTTGATAATAAAAATGTTGCTTGCTCAGGAGGTAACACGATACTTGTACGCAAATGAGGGGTATTCTAATCATCTGAAGTCTCGTGTTCCTCTTCATTTTGAGATGAATCACTTATTACTTCATAATCAGCGATTCTTCGAGAGTCAGCTGGCACTTTTTGTCTCATAAGTGACATGAATGGACAACTACAAACACAACAGACTTCAATTTAGGCCCATAATCAATTTAACTTGATTTTTATATCAATAAATGTAACATCATATATTTCATTTTGTCATACATTGAGCCGAAGATGTTACGTTCAGATAGCTGGGCAAAATTATTTAATTCTAAAATCATTTTTTTTATCAAACAATCAATCATGCATTCAATTAATGGATAATGACTGAATCATAAAACACTTCAATCATGTGGCCCATCATACAAACAATTACAAATATGGGCATCAAACTATAAAATTATGAAATCTTGCTTCTTTGCATCGGTACTGGCTGGCCTGATATAGACACCAAAATTAGATATCTATATTTTCAATTTTTTTAAAATTTCAAATAAATTAAATAATAACTTGTACCTCTATTTAGATATCGATACCTAAACTCTTGAAATGGAAATTTTTTCAAAAAGAAATATGCAGCAAATTCAATCTCAAAATGCCATTAAAGAATCTAACATATGCGAGTATCTCTAAATAATTTTGGATAAACTATTCGATTTTATTTAAATTATTACTTTTATTTAATTTTAACATTCAAAATTTATTTCTTTTAAATTATATTTAACATTTAGTCTAACTTATATGCCATTAAATTTATTTCTTAGAGGTTTAGATTCAAACAATTATATATAGGTCGTGTGTTGTCAATAAATTATGAAAATTTTGAATAGATAATATCTTGCAATTACTTCAGATTATATATGGATTAGTCTAACTTAGTTCTTCTAATGGTGAAGTCTACTGAGCTGAGAATAATTTATGTGCGATTTTCTCTTAGATTTTGTTTCAAGAATTTGTTCAGGATCTGACTAGTCATGCTCTAAATGAGGTTATATGCATCTTTGTTTGTGCATCTTCAAATGTAAAGCCTTTTATTCCCCCCTAACAAAGCTTCTAAACGGTTGAATGGTTTGCTAGTCTAGCTAAGGGTTGTTCGTTTGCGTTGACTGTGTCTGTTTCATGTTACCACTTTTATTTGAGTTAGGTTGCTAAGGGTTGTTTGTTCGGCCGCCCCGTACTTTTATCACGTAACTTCGTGATTTGGTATAAGAAGAGATTGGATCACAACAGTAACAAAAACCTGATTCATAAAGTGCACAGAACAATGCTACCTCACTTCTTTCACCGGGTAAAGGAAAGAAAAGGGAGTGTGTGGATCAAGGCTCTAACTCTAAGCCTGTCAAACGGAAACGTAGGGGACTGAAAAGGGGGACTAGAGAATTCTGAAGGGGTTGAGAAATTGGTGCAGGTCATGATGCCCGAGAGAAATGTGAAGAAAATGGACCTGTTGAGAAACCAAATCATGTTAGATGAAAAGTGTTAGTTGACTAACAATCAACTCTATATTACTGACATGATATTTCTACGTGTTCATTTGATGATGTCGCAGAGCAATGATGAAAAGGTTGAGAAGGATGTTGAGGCTTATGCATGTTGCCATGCGAGTCACAGTGAGAAGCAAAAGCCCGAGTGGGTAAGTAATGATTATGATGTGCTATTTTTTTTAATAAGAATGAAGACAAGCAGTATTAGGAGGGATTAAACCTCCACAAATCTGTAATGTTCAGCGTCCTCCTCATAAGCTTTGTCTATCTTAACCGGAGGCATGTTTCTCTATTTTTAGGGTAAAGTACACAAATGGTCCCCTGATTATAGGTATTGTTTTATTAAATTCTTCGACTATTAAAAGTTATAAAATGATCTTATAACCATAGAGTGTTGCTTTGTTGAGTCTCTCGACTATTAAAAGTTACAAATTAGTCACTCGACTATTCATTATGTTCCAAAATCGTTTTTTTTTTTGTTAAAAAATTAGTGATTTGTAAGTTGGATATTAACATGATGACTGGGATATGATAGTTGTTTGAGATTCTGATATCATATTTTATCATATCATAGTTAACATGTTAATGTTCAGCTCAGAATATCGTTATTTTTTTAACGAAAAATAACGAGTTTGGAATATAATGAAAAGTTTGATAACCATTTTGTAACTTTTAATAGTCGATAGACTCGACAAACCAAAACTCTATAGTTGGAAAACTATTTTATACCTGTTAGTAATCGAAAGACTTGATAAAATAGTATATTATAATTATAAAACATTTATATATTTTTCCCTTATTTTTATTTAAGACAAGTTGATTACTAACGTTCAAAACTAGTTTAGAATTGTTAGTAGTTTCCAATGTTTGAGTAATCTCACACCGTAAGTAAAAGGGAACAACAATGTCAGATTTTAACATACTTAATTATCAAGAGTTGCTCATTCAAAAAACTTTATCAAGAGTTGCGTGTCAAATAATATGTTATTCTTTTTTCCAATCATCAATATATGATTTATTAGTTTATATTAATCTCGATCAGATATTATAAAGATTTTGGAATGAATCTATCTTATTTTCATCCTTTTTAATTGACATAAAAAAAATTATGTTCGTTTGTACAAATGATCATTTTGTTCTCTATTATTTTTAGAGTATTTTAACACTCAATGTTTTAGTTTTTTGTCAAAACATTTCATGTTAGATATAAACTATTAGTTGACTAACAGTCAATACATGTTACTTATGTAATATTTCATCGCCTTGACTGATGTGGCAGATGCTACATCATCACTGTGAGTAATATGACATATATCATGTCATCGTGTTTTGTGATGTGATATATATCATGTCAATCGCTTGAACATATAAAATTATCACATCACTAAAATGGATTGATGAAGTAATCGATTAATAGTTTTTATTTAATAGAGTCGGTTTTCACACAAAAAATAAAAACAAACTGAAGATTAAAATAATCTGAAAACAAATAACAAAATAATTATTTATGCAAATGTTAGAAATAATTTTGTCATTATACCTTTATTAATTCTCTCCACCTTTCATTCTTCACAGATGTCTTTAAACAAAGGCCAGAGTTAGTCTTTCACGCTGATTATTTAATGTTTGGTAGAGTGGAATTGTTAGAAACTGAAAAAGAGACTTGTGAGGAACGTTTGTCAGAGAATTAGTAAAAGAAAAAGTGAAAAATAACCCACTTTTGAACCCTTTTATATAGCAATGATGATGGCAGCTATTGGATGGCATGTAAAAGAAATGGCACCGCTGGGATTACCTCCTGGTTTTAGGTTCCATCCTACTGACGAAGAACTCGTGAATTACTATCTCAAAAGGAAAATAAACAAGCAACAAATCGAACTTGACATCATCCCCGAGGTTGACCTCTACAAATCCGAACCATGGGAATTAGCAGGTCATCTTTTAAAATTTTCATATTTTTTATTGATAATTTCTTTTTGTTTCTAAGGTTTTCTTTCCTAGAATTTTGTAAGTTGATCTCTTTTAGAGTAAAATCTGACGTCTGTCCAGAAAACATATTTACATCATTTCATTGATGTTTCCCTTTGGAATTTGGCTGAAAATGTGAACCATTTTCATATCTATTATTTGATAGAAAAATCATTTTTTTCCTAGTAGAGATTCGGAGTGGTATTTCTTTGGACCCCGTGACTGAAAATACCCGAATGGATTTCGGACAAACAGGGCGACGAGGGCGTGATATTGGAAATCTACTGGGAAGGACAGGAGAGTTTGTTGCCAAAATCTAGCCATCGGAATGAAGAAGACGTTGGCTACCGAGGTCGTGCCCCTCAAGGAATCAGAACAAATTGGGTAATGCATGAATATCGCCTCGACGATAATGAAAGCGAGGACAAGTGCGGAATTCAGGTACTCGGTGCGTCATTATTATTCACCATTGCGTGAATATTAGTGATGAAAATCCCGGCTTTGGCATGCAATGGATCGTGTTTTGCAACTATATATATATATAGATATAGATATATTTTTTTGCAAAATAATAAAAGTAACGTGGTCGAAAATATTATAAGTTACTAACTACTCTTAATTTTGAGTCTTCGTTCAGAGATCTAAAAATACCCGAGACTGTTCTATTCTTGATGCTAAGAGTGTTGACAATTCTTTAGTATTAAACCTAATAACATAGTTCGCTTTGTTGTATTTGACGTAGGCAATGCATGATTCTCATGAAAAGTTAGGCCATTTAGACACACTTTTGCTTTATCATTTCTTTAATGAGTATTTATTTAATATATTGGCTTTATCATTTCTTTAATGAGTATTTATTTAATATATTGGTCATCGACTCAAAATAAATAAATCTATACAAAAATGAGTGAAATATTCGTTGCTTGCTCTTATTGATCTCTAAAGTTTAGAAAAGTTTTGTCTCACTTTGCCTTTTGTAAGAAGACAAAAGCATTATCCTTCGGGACCTAAATGCTATTATTCTAATATCCTTTTAATTCTCGGGTAAATATTATTGAACTTTGTCATTGTTATCATTAATTAGTATATGTCATTATCTAGGGATGGATCGAAGGGGCTATGGGAGTAATCGTCCTCTGAAAATTTTTAAATTCTCATATAGTTTAGTTATTTTCTTTATATTTTCTAGTAATAATATATTTTCATTCCCTAAATTTTATAACTTTAACATAAAATTGTACATTTATCCCTCACCACCTTAACATAAATGATGGTGGCTAATGGCTATGTTACTTTATTCCAAAACACAGTTATAAGCCAATGG